CAGCCAATACATGGATTACTTTAAAAATCCTGATGTAAAGTCAGCCAATACATGGATTACTTTAAAAATCCTGATGTAAAGTCAGCCAATACATGGATTACTTTTAAAATCCTGATGTAAAGTGAGCCAGGAAAGACCATAAGAATGCAACATAAAATACTGGAAATGAGATATGACAGAAAACTAACTGGAGTTCAATGATTCTTCTGTTAAAAAACTAATAGCCAGTAAACTACAACTGAATCAGGAAAACAACTTACTTATGAACACTATTACAAAAATAAAACCTGAAAAATAAATCAGACTGAGAAAATATTTGAATATTTAAAAACATTTCCACATTTTATCAATATCTTTATACGGGTAAATATTGAATCATCTGTTACAAGTGATTGGAAAGTTGTTTATGTTATTTTGAAGCTTAGCTCCTCCCATTTACAATGTTTTTTAAAAGATGGTTGTCCCTTGGGTCAACCAACTTTTCAAATCTGCTCATCCCCAGTTCATTTTTAACCATCCAAGATGCATTCACATCCTGTTAGTTAAACAAATAAACTACAATAATTTATCCAAAAACATCTGCATTAAATGCACACACAATACGATAAAAACTTATAGAAAGATATGGAATAGGGTAAAAAAGATGATTAACTAATCTTCCAAGAGAATGTACTGATCTCATCCTTCCAGTAGTTTCCACAATAACACATTGTCACGTTATTAGAAAATTACACAGCACAACGGGATCTGCAAGAGTATTACAGAAACAGTTCTAAATTTACTAAAGAAAACTTCTAACTTTTTCTAATCTTAAAACCAAACCACCAAGAAATACAACCAAAGTTCCAACAAATCTTGAGAATTTACAGATCCCTTTGTTTGTCATGCTCTGTGGTCTTTGGACTAATCTCATCCAAACATCGTAGGATCATACACCGGACCAAGGAATATGGCATAGGGTGGTTATTACCTGTCCTCACCCTTTCTGGGCCATACCCACAGCAAAAATATATTTATTTATCTAATGACTCCACCGTCTTGAACCAATTTCTATTCCTAAAATTCTTTATTTTGATATTCTTTGATAGATTGTTTAGGCAGAGTATTCATGATGAAACTTTGTAGAATGGATGGCAACTGCCTGTTGTAGAGACACGAGTGTAGAGGATGACGTTTCGAAAGTCTTCCGCCTGAAGATGAAAGGCAGTACCCTTTCAAAACATCGTCCTCTACACTTGTGTCTCTACAACAGGCAGTTGCCGTCCATTCTACAAAGTTTCATCTTTATTTTAAGTTTTTTCTTGAAACGTTTGAGTTTTTCTAGAAAAATGACAATTAAAGCACAAGGTCAGATCCATAAAGTAGCAGGACTACATCTGAAAACCCTTTGGTTTTCACATGGTCATTTCTACGTTGGTTGTTCAAGAGTAGGATGAACAAGAAGACTATTCTGGCCCAGGAAGGAGAAAGAACTTCTAATGCGGTCTGTAAAGAAGAACTCAGAGTATCAACAAACACTGAAGCTGTAGTAAAAGTAAATAAAGTAACCGTAACATCATTTCTGTACTGTGGAATAAAGTAGCTCTAAAGTAAATTATGTGCAAATTAAATCATGCATATAAAAACAAATTATTAAGTTAATTTATTAGTTCAAGCCCTACATTCAATCCTTATTCCCCCTGATGTAGGACGGATGCCTCTCTCAGCTTGTATAGAAAATAAATTTTATAGAACTTAATATTATGGACTGAAAACATTTTCAGAGTGGAAATGTTTCTGCGTAGACAATATCACAAAATTTTAATGGCCAGTTAAAATATGCAGTACAAAAATGACCAGATATAACACAAGTATATTCAGTTAGGCCCAGGCAACTGGCTTCCTTCCAGACTAAACAAATGTCAAAACACTTTAAGGGGCCACAAATTGACCTACACAGTCGTGTGGATCTTATTGGTAGAGAAAAACTGTATTTGGGATTAGAACTTTGAACCTGAATCCAGCAATCTTGAAAATATTATGTTGCAAAAATCTTTGAGATTTCCTTTTTTTTTTTTTGGAAACTACTATTACACCATGTTGAAAGCAATGACACATCAAAAGGCAGTTGACAAGTACAGGATGTTCAAAGAACAATATGATAAAAATAAAGAAACCTACGATAAACTGCTGTAAAGGAAATCATCATGGTAACATGCATAAAAAAACATGACCTTTGCATATTACAACCACAAATAAACATAACAGACCTTAGAAACAAAACAGAAAAATCTATGTGAAATAATTAACCCTGGAGGTCATCCCATTTTATTCCAATGATCGGAAGTGATAGAAACTGGATTAGCCTAGAAGAGGACATGATCTGGCTTTTGTATGTAATATTCCACAGTTGATAAAAAAGGAGATTGTTTTTATATGTGATAAGATTAGTAACTGAATCTCACATGAATGTTTATATTCCCAGTTAAAGACGGACTAAAGAAACAAGGTGAAGTAAAAGTTTACTTTAATGAAGGATGACAGTACAGATACAATTAATATTTCTAGGTATTATCACAAATCATTCAAATGACAGTGTGACAAACATTTTTGTGAGCTACAAGTGAAAGGCATTTCTAAATCAACCTATAAGATTGGCTGTCACGGTTGTTAATGTACATTGGATACTGGAGCTCACTAATGATGTGGAAAATAGTCAGTACCTCAAACCGAGATCATACATTCAGCAAAAGATAGATTAATAAAGTTTTGTTAGAGTTTTAGGATGAAAGAGGGGACCAAAATAACTTAGTAAATGCTGATATGGTTAATCAAATGGATGGCAGAATAATCATCAGAAGAAAGATTATTTGATTCTGCTTGCAGAAGTACGACATGATAATCAGCATGACTTCTGTATGCTACATGTCCGCGACAAACCGGTGGAACTAAACTATAATAGTTTATAATAATCAGATGAAACTACAGCTTAAAAACATTGCAGTATAAAAGCTATGGAGCAGTTAGCACTAGTTAGGTTTAACTCGTGTTTTCCTGCTAAGGGAACTTGCCACATCTGAAGCTACCGCAACACAACAAGGATTAGTTCTTCCATAAATAATCTTTCTACGATATAAATCTTATTTAACAAGGTAGAAATATTTGATGCAGTAGCAAGGCATTTTAAAACAAAAGTTATGCTGTTAATTAAAGAACTTTTTTTTGCCTTATGTGAAGCAAAAAACTGCCAAGAGAATATTATACAGATATTATCTTTATTTTTTAATTAAATCAATTTGAATTCTGACTCTGCCTTCAGTTGGCAACATGTATGAAACTGCCACCAACTGCATATTCCTGGTATTTTAAAGAAATACTAGTCATACTGGGTTGTCATTCAGCAATACACTTGGGCGAATACTCCTCACTGGCTGTATACTGTTTTCAGTTGTGTGAATACTCCTCACTGGCTGTATACTGTTTTCAGTTGTGTGAATACTCCTCACTGGCTGTATACTGTTTTCAGTTGTGTGAATACTCCTCACTGTTTTTTTTTAATCTTACACTATGACTCATAACTCATGCACTTGAAATAATGACAAGATTTCTAAATGATTCAAGAATTAATTTTTTAGTGACATAAAACACTTGAAACTACTAATCCCTAATCACCAACATATAAAAGATTTAAACACTGATCTATCAGAAGTAATAACTTTCAATTATTTCAGTGAGAAATCTTGTGTAAATCACGACCATAAGTTAGTTGTTATACAAAATAATCTGATTAGATTTTGTAAAATACACCAAGGGATAAAAAAACATTTCTACATTAACAAGAAGGTATGTTAAGTACAAACCTGGCAGTCCTAACAATCTTCCTGTCACTACCCCACTGAAACTTCCTGTGGAAGTCATCATCTTCCACAACTTCTTACTGAGCTTGAAAGTTACTGCTACTGACAGCGAAACATGAGACGATGACTGTGACTCTTCACCATAACTAGTAATATCGGGGAGTAAAGCACTCATGCTTTTTGATTGATCTACTACAGGTCTTTTAGCAGTCAGCCTGGACAGCAGCGAGACTGAAGAGTTCCCAGAGTTTGTCAGGTTGGAAATCACGGATACCTCTGTAGTCGTGGATGTGGGTGGGTTCGGTTTCTTACGTGAATGAATCCTGCTACTATTTATCATAGGTTCCTTTTCAACACAAATCTCAAGTTCAGTTACACGTTGAAGAAAAATGTTCCAATCCTGTGAAAATATACTCAATATTTTATCTTAATCCAGTGAAAGAAAAAAAATCTAAATTATTTTACATACATGTGGAGAACAGTATCACTTCAATGTTAGTCCTAAACCCCAGTACTAGTAATTATATGTGAACACATTCCAAGTTATCCCTTTGCATTTAATACAAAGTCAGAAATAAATGTGTACCATTATGAAGTAGTGAAAAAAATGATAGTATATATTGTTGATTTAAGAAGGACATGAATCTAAGCTTTAAGTTTATTGCCAACAAGTGTTGGAAATTTGGTAAAGGAGACTGTCAGTAAAGCTTACACACTTATGTATATAATAAGTTAGAAACCTTGTTTCAACAGCATGTTGGACCACCTCATGCATTAATAACAGTTGAACCCATCCCAACATAGACTCCACTAACTAATAACAGTTTAACCCATCACAACACAGACTCCACTAACTAATAACAGTTTAACCCATCACAACACAGACTCCACTAACTAATAACAGTTCAACCCATCACAACACAGACTCCACTAACTAATAACAGTTCAAATTAGTTAGTGGAGTCTATGTTGTGATGGGAACAGTTCAACCCATCACAACATAGACTCCACTAACTAATAACAGTTCAACCCATCACAACATAGACTCCACTAACTAATAACAGCTCAACCCATCACAACATAGACTCCACTAACTAATAATTATAATTTCCATAAAATAATGCTATACTACAATCAACAAGCATTACAAACAAATAGGCCTAATATTTAGGATAAAAAACCATGAAACTACGGGTGTTTTCTTACACATGCCTATTAATTTGATCATACCAGCTTTCAGTATTCAAACACAAGTAACGCATCACCTCCAGTGCCTAACACCCAACTACCATGTACAGTGCAGTGATATATATACTGGATATCTTTAACGCTAATAATATTACTGTAAAGATATGATACTGAAATAGAAACAAACTTATTTTATCTTATGATGTTTCAAGTAACTGCTCATCATAAGACGTAATATGATAGCATAATAAGTCTTAAAATACAGCAACATTCTAGTTGAGATATTAGAAAGGATAAGTTAGTTTTGTGTTTTTAGTGATTTTGTTTTATTGAATTTATTTTTACAATGTCACGTGGATTACAATTCTTTTGAAAATTTTATCATATCTACTATCATGCCAAAATTAAGAATTTCTTCATTGTCTCTAAAACTATATGCTAAGCTTGTGCATTGTTGAAGATTTATAAACAATGAAAAAATGTATTCACTTATCAGTTACATGTTGCCAAAATACTGTATACACTTTTCCAAATTTGTTATTCCAATAGGCTTAATAGATAGAATGTTTTTTTTTATTATTAAAGACAATTTAGTATTGTTTTACATGTTCATAAGCGTGTTTACGGAAATTTTGGAGCTTCAAGTATTATATCTATAATTACGCAGTAACTCACACTCTATAACCAATCAACAGGATCTTATTTTAATGTGACGTAGATGTAATAAAGTAAAAATAAATTTACAAGCCGAAGTACCAAATTAATATTAATGTTTTATTAAACTTAATGAAACTTTATATTTTAAAGTGGTACTTCAGTCAATAAGTTTCTTTTTTTTATTTTAAACCAAGGGAATCAATTAATCATAACTCATATTATTAATTAAAAAAACATACAAAATAGACTAACATCAATTTATTTCATAAAATAAAATTTTTGATAATTATAATTTCATCTTATAAACTTTTAGGGTATAAATAAGAAGAAAACTAGAAAATTTGTTCGTTTGCTTAAGGCAAAGGTACTAAGCCTATCTGTTTTTTTTTAATTAAAAATTCCTGCACATAAAACACACAATTCTGTGTAAACATGACCTTTGACCATTCATCATTAAAATGGCACTTGCCCGGAATTCTTGGTGGTAGCACATACAGCTAACTAAACCATTATTAAGCAACAACTGTAACATCACCCACTAACTTGCAAGTATAAAAGTCACCCAAGAATACACTTGACTGACAAGACAGTGAGCCAATCCAGTAGCATTAACACTGGGCCAAACTGAGTTACATCATATCTCTGGAGACCACAGGATTTAGAATGGGGAAGGCAACAAGTAAATTACAGACTATAACAAAAAGCCAATTTTCCAAGGTATTCCAGGATTGGATTTTGTGGAAGCAGATTTCCAGAAATGAGAAAGGAGAAGAATAAAGACCTTGTTCTTGGCATGAAAAAAAGAACTAGATCTCAAGGTTACAGTAAATGCAAAGCATCTTAATTATTTGGTGCTCACTTTCTTTTTACCACTATGAGTGGTAGATAAAAAATATTTGTTTGGATAGATAAAACATCTCAAAAAATATTTTCATATACATCCTTTGAATGTATATTCGTAATAATTACTTGTACCTCAGGAAATCTGAATTTCCAAAGAATATCAAAAACTTTAAGTATCTTCTTTTGAGAAACACGAGATCTCTACAATTAATTTTATGTAATGTCTAACAGATAAAGAGCTTACACGTAACTATTCGGAGATTTTTTCCTAACGTTAATTTATGTTAATATTTGTAAACAACTCCGGTACCTTCCGTAGAAAGTTTTAAACAGAGTAAAAATTACATAGCATAGTTATTTCAATGTTATTTCTTACCATGGTAACATCTGGATTGGCCATTTCATTTTCACCAACTATATAGGCCAAAACAACCATTGTTATACCAAAAGCCATAAGGCAAATAGTAAAAACAAAGAGTGGGGGCTGTGTGGCGGCAAAACCTCGTAGACTCTGAAAAGGATGCGAAGCCATAGTTTTTCTTGCAAAACTGCAATTGAAAAAAAAAAAACAGCACATTAAATGACAAAACGATAGCTTCTTATATGGTATAAGACATCATATTTAACGGCCATAATGCTTCGATAAAACTCTAAACTTGAAAACACTTGTACACTTACAGCATAATTATTTATATAAATTATACAGCAAAGGTGCAGTTAGTGTTTGTAAGGTATGCCAAATACAAGTTTAAAATTCTTCATTATATATAACCAAACCTAATTAAAATCTGCTGTAGAATAATCAAACAAAAGAGAGCCATATACCTACAAAATTACTGATATCCCATACCTAATTAACATACAATGATTTCAATGGTCTAATCCAAACTTCTTATGTAAAGGTATAAATTAGAAATTTTTCCACTTCTCAGAGGTCACTTCAGTGTCCACAAAATACTTTGGAAAACAGCTACTAAGCCTTCCTCAGCTTCTTAAAACTGTTTAAAGAATTCTTGAGTTTTCTACAACACACCTGGTACAAAAACTGTTCTGGTAAAAATTATATTTTTTTTTAATACCTTGAAAGTTACAAAACTGATAAAATAAAAATGGCAAAGGTTTCTGTATAAATGAGCTATGAAAACCAGTAATGCGTTAAGAACATATGAAAACAAAAATTGAAAGTAGGCCATTTGATCAATTTAGGTCACTCATACAAATTTTTTTTTTCAATCTATTTAAAACTCCATTTAGGCCTATTTCTATTTGCTGGTGGTTTCTTATTTTATATATATCATTCACACTGTAATTGTTAAACATATTTCCCTCAAAATCTTAAAAGGAGAAACCAACATCATTCTCCTTCATAGGGCTTTAATGTTTTTAAGAAACAACCTTTCACAATTTTCAGAAACTCCTCAACCTCATGCGCTTTTTTCTGAAAATGTTGGTAAAATATTATTTTTTTTTATGTCTTTATGAAAGAAAACAATTAACATAATCATTGAAGAACATTTAACATGTTACACAAATAAAACTTTTTTTTTTTATACTTCCAGTTTACATGACAAGGAATTAAAAATCAATATGTCAGCTTAAAATTTTTGGGGATGGAGAGAGCAACTACTTGTTAAACTTGTTTGTCTGAAATATTTTTTCTTACTTTCGTGATCTTTACGTTACTACTACGTATCAAGCTGAAATACTGAAATTTACCAATTTTATGTTTTTTTTACATATAAGCTAATAACACAATGTTTCACTCTAGATTCAGTATCATTATACATCATTGTCTTTGGCCTCTACTACAGTTTCAAGTGGTGAATTCATTCAAATCATAGAAAAAAATAAAATAAAACTAATCTGATGATGTAATGCACACACATAAAACAGTTAGGTTTACCCAAAAAGATCAGTTCTGAACACTTGCAATCATTAGTATTGTAAGTAGCTATATTAAGTTACAATGCAGGCATAATATTAACAGTAACAGTGTAATCCTTCTCTGTCACTCTTAGTATTTCCCCGTATGATGAAGTTACATTTTGACAAATGCCAATTTTTTTTTATTTTCAGTGTTTATAACTATAATTTATAAAGTATAACTATAACTTAAGCACTAGAAATATTATTATTATCACTATTAGTAATTTGATATTCGTACATTGCAAACTAACTCAGTAACTGCCATATGTAGTGCTCAGTTTTAAATCTTAGTTCTATACTAGCATAATCAACGTGTAAAAATTAAGTCTCCAAATTATAATGTTAATACAACACTAACACAGTGCAAGTTTAACATGATTAAGTAATACTTACTTTTATTGTAGTACTAATACTAGTAGAAGCAGGGTTAACAAAACAGATATTCAGCTTCTTAACAAATCCTTTCAATCATAAAGCGAAGTCACATTTAAACCCATACTTAAGTTAAGCGGCTAGGCTACTTATTGGTATTAGCTAAAAAGTTAATTACTGCACTAAAGTCGTTACTATGGCAGATTCTTTCAAATACTGTTATTAACTTATAAAATATAGTAAATTTCTTGCATAGGTGTCCTAGCAACACTGTATGCGTCCCCTAACGGCATAAGAGATTTACAGGGGATGTGACAATCTGTGCTGTGTTAAATAAATATATTTAATCCTATCGTCACAAGTCAAAGGCCATGTCATCGCGTTTGTTGATTTGTATTCAAAATTTTATTGAACTACTATTTTATGTTAATAAGTTTGGTATCAAATTGTAGATTATAAATCAAATTTTTGTATTATACATTAGTTAATTTCTTAATTTAAAAGAACACACCTAATTATGATTTTTGTGTCACGTGGTATGTTGAATGCAGCATTGGTTCAAATTATATGTTTGTGATGTTCAAATAGAAAGTCTAAAGTTTCTTATGAATTAGAAACTCAAATTAATTATATTGGCAAGCCTGAATATAAAATAAGAACCTCCTATGTTTTCTACTTGCTTTTTTATACCTGTCATCCTATTGCTTCTTCTAAACGTGTACCTAGTTCTTAAAACCCATTTCCTTTCCTGGGTATAACACTGCTAAAAACCGGGTTTCTATATTCGTGCTAGCCACAGCATATAAATGTCCATTGAGCTGCTTTGCGCTTAACAATAAATAACAAGAATAACCTGAATCTGATAACCTGATTGAGTTTCCTAGTTTGTGTGAAATAATGAGACTGGAGAAGTTTAACAAAATGAAAACAATCTTTATTATACAACAGAGAAAAATAATACGCAGTCTACATACTTGCGCACACGAAAAGACACTCACTTCTACAGAATTGTGATTAACTCCACATCGTTTTTTTCTCGTGGGATAGACTTCTGTCGAACTAAACATGATGCTTAATATACAACTTAAGTAGTACTAAACTTGACCAATGGGGAAAATAATGCAAACTGAGAACTAGGTACACGGCGTGTACCCCCATTTCTATCATTTGTTATACCACAGACTTACCGTTGAGCCACTGGGAAAGGGGGCACTTTAATTATTTTCTGAGAGAATCTCCTATTATTGGTGGGTATATCTAATACAGCATTTGTCAAACTGGGGTCAACGGACCCCAAGAGTTCGCGAGTCATATCCGAAATTTCATAAAAATATTTTTTCCTAAAATTAAATTTATATGAATTAAAACAACTTTCATGTACATGGATTATTATTTTCTTTCCAAAACAAAATATATCGATAAATTTGGGAAAAAAATAAATTATTAGGGTCCTCAGGTTACTAAACTTTGAGAACAGCTGATCTAATGCTTATCGGAATATCTGCTTCTACCCAAAAATTACAATATACTTTATAATGCCACAAGTATTATGTCATAGAATCATAACCTATCTAGTAACACGTCATAGTGTTATTTCTTAAGCTATTTTTAGTAATATATTATGTTTCTGAATAAGACAAATATATTGTTACGACAGCGGAAGTCATGTGACGCTGCTGGCGCGTTGGTGCTGTTAGTATGTGTGATGAGTTTCTCGAATGATCGGGGAAGTCCGAGTGCGTTCGAGATGCCCTCTTCGTTAGTATATAAGCCTGGCAGAGGAAAGGCAGCGGGGATATAAATGAATGAAGAGAGAGCAGAAGTTACTTAGAGTTCCGTGTAATTTATGATTATGTTAGTTTCGAGCTAGTGAGCCGCAAAATGTGTGTTTTGCATTCGTCGAGAGCGAAGTTATCGAGATTGTGAATAGCTGTGATTTATAGCATGTATTATAAAAGTTGTTAAGTTTAAAGCGAGGAGAAACGTACTGATTGCGGAACTTCTGTGTATTAAAAGTTTGTATCGAGGAAGAATAAACTGGTTTAATCAAGAAAGGACTTGTATCGCTGAAGATCTCGGAAAGAATTTCTACCAGAAACAAACAAACAAGCAGATACGATACATAACAATATGTCGAACATTTCTCAAATTTTTGTGTCACAAGTTTGGAATAAGAATGTCACTGTTGATATAGTGTTTGATTCATATTAATATTGATTAAGTGAGGATTTTTATGGAACACGAAATTAATAGAGCTTAGTGAAAATTGTTCTCATTCATTCCAGAAAGAAACAGTTCCGGTGTCGAAGTTAATAACAACTCAAGAAAATTAATCAATCACTTTTTCAAAAGCATTCATAAGAACTCGGAATTCAAATCTTGCAGATATTGATATTTAATGAGTTTCTGTTTTAACTGTGAACTTAAAAAAAAAAGTTTATTTGTTTGTTTCAGCGCAAAGTCACGTTGGTTTTTCTGCTGTATTCACTGCAGAAAATCGAGCCCCGAATTTTAGCATTGGAAGTCTGTAAACTAATCGCTGACGCACCGGAGGACGAGCTAAAAAGATGCCTTGTTGTAATCACAAGTTCTTTTAAATAAAATACCCGTTTTAATATTCGAATATGAGATAACTTCATAAAAGATACTCTGTTAAGTTGTGGAGGTCATTGCAATGGTTAAGTTATTTGTTTGTTAGTTAAATCCATTTAATGCCGAAGAAGAACACAAGAACAAGTACTGAACTCCAATTGTAATTGCACAAGCGAATGAAAATGGTGACAACATTCGCCCTGGATAGGATGGGATGCTAATCCATCTCAGGTTAACACCCAGCTAACTGTCGAAACCACTTACACAACTGAAGCAATCTGTGTAACCTGTCTTACTCAAGGACATAAAACAACTTGAAGTAGCAAGCCACGAACTCGCAATATTCCACAACGAGTACAAACAAGGCCATCTTGAAAATAGCTATTAGACCACGCTTAAACTCAGACTATTTATATATATTCCTATAAATCACATTTTTTATATTTACTAATAAATTTATCTGTGAGTTATCTGTCACTCCGAAAATAATTCAGTTTAAAACTAATCAAATAACAACTTATGTTGAATTATTAGTGTTTGGAGGGTTCTAATTTTTAAAAGTAAGTTTGAAATATATTTCGCACTCCAGTAGCACAGCGGTATTTCTGCGGATTTACAATGCTAGAATTCGGGTTTCGGTACCAGTGGTGGGCAGAGTACAGATAGCCCATTGTGTAGCTTTCTGCTTAATTACAAACAAACAAGCGAAATATATTTTTGTGGCAAAAATATTACTTACATTTTAAGTACATTTGAATTTTGAGGTATTTAGATTCTAAGTTCAGAGGATAACATTATAAAGGTTGTGATATGGTTAGTGTTCAAAAATTGGGCGTTTATTAAAAAAAAACAACGGAATAAAACAAGTATTATAACTTTTTATACATAAGATTTAAAAAGTGGGAATATATTTTATAGAATTCGCATGATATAAATGTTGTGTAATATCCACCTTTTACCCCTTTCATTAATGTACATATTCATCTCTTCATTTTTATAAAAAAAAAATGTGAAGCCATCAGCGCTTTTAAAGCCACAGCTAATTTGTTAGCACATTTTTATTTAGGTAATATTTTAGTTGTGGGTTCTATTAGTTTCATTTGTCTGTTTTTAATTTTTTTTTCTAATATAATGCCCAATGTTATCAACAATGGCTAAGTAACAAACACACGAAGTTGAATAAATTAGAAACTTGGAGTTTTAGTTCGTTGCTAGATCTATAGTAAAGCAGACTCAGTAAAATGTAACCGCATCCAGATTTCGGTTAACATGTGTGTGTGTGTATGTTTGTTTTCAATGTTAAATATAAACTCCCTTCGCAATACGATTGTTTGTTTGTTTGTTTTTGAATTTCGCGCAAAGCTACACGAGGGCTATCTGCGCTAGCCGTCCCTAATTTAGTAGTG